TTGACTTTGATCACATTCAATATTTCAACACCAGACCCACCATTATTATTTGAGATTTTACCCCAACACTCAGATCTGCTGAAAAGGCAACAGTAGACAATTTGTGTTCTATTGCTGGTTATGAATAACATATGATGTCGCGTGGCTGCAGTAGGGCCATGTGATTTTGAAATTCCAAAATTTTAACACTTAAATCTGGAGGGATTTCTGCCAAAAGCCACTGGGTTTTGAGATTTGCTCCTGGGTCTCTGGGATCATGGCCATTGAGCAGCTTGATCAGGAACCAGAGAGGCCATTCATGGGCGATGACTTGGGGTCTCGTTGGGATGGGGAGGACAGGCCCGGCTCCACCCCCATCCTGTGAGGCCCAACAAGTTTAATCACTGTGGGCCCAAGCCTGACTGTCCAATGGCCTCTGGAGGATGACGGCCACTGAGCCGCCAAAAGGGAGCAGACGGAGAGACAACACTTTTTCCCCCCCTGGAGTGGCCCGGCGACAGTAACCTACTGTGGGATCCGGACGCATTTCTGCCAAAAGCCACTGGGTTTCGAGATTTGTTTCTGAGTTTCTGGGATCATGGCCGTTCAGCAGCTTGATCAGGAGCCAGCGAGGCCATTCGTGGGTGATGATTTGGGGTCTCGTTGGGGTGGGGAGGAAAGGACCAGCTCCACCCCCATTCCGTGAGGCCCTGCGTGTCTTGTCACTGGGGGCCCAAAACTGACTATCCAGTGGCCTCTGAAGGATGGTGGCCACTGGGCCGTGGGGGGGAACAGGCCAAGGCATGAAACCTATTTCCACCGGGGTTGGCCCAGCACTGGTAACCTACTGCAAGGACCAGACACATTTCTGCCAAAAGCTACTGGGTTTCAAGATTTGTTTCTGTGTCTCTGGGATCATGGCCATTAAGCAATTCCATCAGGAAACAGAGAGACCATGCCTCCAAGTATATAGCTGAGTCGGAGGTGGTTTGTAGGTGTGTTTCCCACATACCTAACTTTTGGCCTTTTACTTTCTTGACAAACTTTGCCCTAAATTTTTTGGGTCTGGCCAAAGGCACAGAAGCAATTTTGGGGTATCTGGAAGTCTGAAGGCACCATCAGGCTGCTGATGCACTCACCTCACAGGTACAGACTGACCAGCTGGCGGCACCATACCCTCAATAGGTCCTTTTTAAAGGTTTGGAAGAATTCATTAGTGAATCCATCTGGACCCGGGATTTTGTTTTTGGGAAGACTTTTGATTACTGTTTTAATTTTCTTGATTGTGATAGTCTATTCAGGTATGGCCATTTCTCAAAACAAACAAACAAACAAAAACAAACAAACAAACAAACAAAAAACAGAAATTGAGCTCCTATTTGATCCAGCAATATCACTTCTGGGAATATACCCTGGAGGCTCAAAAACATACAGCAGAAACACCATCTGCACTCTTATGTTTAGTGCAGCACTATTCACTATAGCCAGAACTGGAAAACCACCTGAGTGTCCAAGAACAGAAGAATGGATAAAGAAACTATGGCACATCTGTGGCACTGTAGCACTGTCCTCCCGTTGTTCAACGATTTGCTCGAGCGGGCACCAGTAACATCTCCATCGTGAGACTTGTTACTGTTTTTGGCATATCAAATACACCACGGAGAGCTTGCCAGGCTCTGCCGTGCGGGCAGGATACTCTTGGTAGCTTGCCAGGCTCTCCGAGAGGGATGGAGGAATCGAACCCGGCTCGACTGTGTGCAAGGCAAATGCCCTACCTGCTGTGCTATCGCTCCTGCTGCTGGCACATCTACACAATGAAAGATGATGGAGCTGTCAGGAAAAAGGAAGTCATTAAACCTACCTCTAAGTGGATGGACATGGAGAGTATCGTGCTGAATGAAATGAGTCAGAAGGAGAGGAACGATACAGAATGACTGCATTCATTTGTAGTATGTAGAAAATATATAGTAGACTAATATCCATGGCCAGGGAAAACAGGGGTTAGGGGGACTGGTCAATGGTTGGAACTAAACCAGTAGTCTGTGTGGGGCTGAGGGTAAGTAAGATAGAGAAGAGACCAGCATGATTATAATAGCTGGGAATGATCACGCTGGACAAGACCAGGGGTTTAAAAGTATGTAAAGTGCATTCATTAATAAAAAAAAAAATCACAGCATCGCACATGTAAGACAAGTGCTCTATCATTGAGTCACATACCCAACCTGAGCTTGCGCTGAATTTTAAGGTCAATTCCAGGAGGACATACATCTCTATGTTAATTCCGCCAATCTGTGAACATGAAATTGCTCTCTATTTAACAAGGTCTTTTCTTAATTATCACAGCAATTTTCTATTTATGGTTTTTATCATACAGATAGTAATTGCATGTGTTTACAAAACCCATCCTGGAGTGCTTCATGTTTTCTAATGCTGTTATAAATTACATTAAAATAGTCACGGCCGCGGTCCTCCCGTTGTTCATCGATTTGCTCGAGCGGGCCCAGTAACGTCTCCATCATGAGACTTGTTGTTACTGTGTTTGGCATATCGAATACGTCACATGTAGCTTCCAGGCTCTGCCGCGCGGGCGAGATACTCTCAGTAGCTTGCCAGGCTCTCCGAGAGGGGCGGAGGAATCGAACTTGGGTCAGCCATGTTGGCCGCTTGTAAGGCAAACGCCCTACCGCTGTGCTAAATGTGTTTAAGTATTGACCGTGAAAAAAAAAGTATGTAAAGGGATATTCTTGATAACCTTTCAATATCAATATTGCAAACCATAATGCCCAAAAGGAGAGCGAGAGCGAGAGAGAGAGTGCATAGAGGTAGGCAGGGTGGGGGGTGATGGGAGGGAAGCTGGGGACACTGGTGCTGGGAAATGTACACTGGTGGGGGGATGGGTATTGGAATACTGTATGACTGAAATCCAATCATAAACAGTTTTGAAAGGGTAAAAAAAAATAGTGAATTTGAAAAAAAAAAGAAAAGCAACTCAAATCACTGTCCCCTGCATGACCACAGGGGAGTCTTGCTTGAGATTTTGTTTGGACTGACAATCACCCTGACCCCAAGAATCGTGCTTATTAAGAACTCGCCATGGGACAGGCCAATGTGATTTACACTTTTCATGTACTCATTTAGGCCACAAATCATCCTATAAGAGGGATACTGTGACTGTCCCCATTTCACAGATCAACAAGTTGAGGCCAAGGGAGGTTTAGCAATTTGCAACAAGGACAACAACGGATATGAAGTACACCTGAGATGTGAGCCTAGCCCTCTCCAGAGCCTGTGATCATAACCATGACAAATTCCTGCTCAGCCAAGACCAAGTGAGGTCAGATGAAGTGGTGGGGTGGGGAAAAGGGGGGGGTTGTGTGGGGTGTGAGAGCACAGTTTTGCCCAGGGCAAAATTGAGCCAAGTGGAGGGAAAATAAAGTCATCAGTGCATGGAGCATGTGACAAATCCAAAAGATAAGGCAGCCGGAATGCCCGCACCTCCTCCATGCAGCTAGTGGCAATTCCGGTTTCATAGAGTTACAAGGTGCAGATCACGAAATCAATGTTGTGCCATGGACAAGGACAGCATACGGGAGTGGTGAGGGCTCATGTGTGCAGAGTCAGGATTGCTGGGTTCAAATTCATCTTTGCCTCATCCCTGGACTACCTCAGACAAGCCACTCAGCCTCTCATCTTTAGATAGAGAGATAGTTCGGTTATTCATTTATTTATTTTTTGCTTTTTGGGTTACACCTTATGATGCACAGGGGTTACTCCTGGTTCTGCACTCAGGAATTACTCCCGAAGGTGCTCAGGGGACCATATGGGATGCTGGGAATCGAACCCAGGTCAGCCACGTGCAAGGCAAAAGCCCTACCCGCTGTGCTATCTCTCCAGCCCCAGTCCATTTATTTTTATTAGAGAATTCTAATAGCATTTGAAAGCCTTTGCAAGGATCCTTTGCCCCTCTGTGGATCCAAGCCTCTTTTCACTCCTAGGGGTAATGCCTCCAAATGCATTTTCTGCCTCTCTTGCAACTGTTGGTGGCTGAGTGGGAGCTGTCAGGGGAGGGTTCTGGGAAATGCTCTTAGAAGACGTCGATGTAGCTGGGAGGAAAGATGAGTTGTCCTTTATCACTGTTCACATTTACATGGGACTTGGGCATGATGGCCGGAGCCCATCCCACCCCCACCTCCACCCATATGACCTTGACAGTTTTTTTTTAATTTTTTTTTTTTTTTGGTCACACCTGGTGATGCTCAGGGGCTACTCCTGGCTCTGCACTCAGGAATTACTCCTGGTGGTGCTGGGGGACCATATGGGATTCTGGGAATCGAACCCGGGTTGGCCGCGTGCAAGGCAAATGCCCTATCTGCTGTGCTATCACTCCAGCCCTGACCTTGACAATTTTGAAGAACATTCAATGTCCTTCCATTGAGAATGTCTGCTGATGTTTTTATGATCAGATGGGGTAGCTATTCGAAGAGAGGCATTCTCTCAGGACTGATGTTATCTTTGGGGAAGGTAACCTTTGATCATTATCAGTTCTCTCTGCTGTAAAGTTCCTGCTTGTCCCCAGCCTTCCAGCCCTGCACTTTGGAATGAAGTTTCTATTTGACAAAGTGCAGAATATCAAGTGGCGAGTTATTCCATTGCCCTCCTTCAGGGTGGAGTATCGACGACACGTATTGCTTGGAGTTCTTTTGCAAGGGACATTGATCTCTTCTTGCTTTTGATGGTTTTGCTCCTTCAGTTGCTCATTCTTATGGGTATGAATTGGAATGCTTATTTATTTTATTCATTTTTTTGGAGGGGAGCACACCCAGCAATGCTGATGGGTTGCTCCTGGCTCTGCACTCAGGAATTACTCCTGGCAGTGCTCAGGGGACTATATGGGATGCTGGGGATTGAAACCAGATCAGCTGCATGCAAGGCAAATGCCCTACGGCTATTGCTCTGGTCCCCATTTCTTTTATTCTTTGGATTATACTCTAGCACAAATTTACTCGTTTTCTTGCTCAAATTGCGCTTCTCGGCCTTTTGGCTAAGATCAAGTGTAGTATCTGTTCTTAAGAGTGCTCCCATCAGCCACTGGGAAATCTTTCCCTTGGCTCCTTAGACTTATCCTGAGAGAAGCAACAATCTGAGACAGGTATTTTGCAACAACAGCTTTAAAATACCCCCATTCCTGTTTGCTCAGAACTTTTGAATAAGAGTATGCAGCTTCCCTAAGACCCGGTCTCTATCTTCGGCACAGCTCAGTCATGTGATTTGCCTTGGCCAATGGGGAAAGGCTCAAGTATGCTAAAGCCTGGTGCAGGGAGCTTGCAGACCGTCATGTGAGCAAGCTTGGGTCAGCCACTGGGCCAGGAAAGATCATGTTCCCTGACCTCCAGCCAAACAATAACCACGTGACAGAGGCATTTGACCAGAACTGCAGATGTCGGTCTAACCCCCAGGCAAGTGTACCCCCCCCCCACATCCAGTTCTTCCAACCCTTAGCCTTGAATAATCCACAGTTAATCTGTTCAATTTGGGGGTGGTCTGTTATGCATTGAAAGCTAACAGCTACACAGGCTGCTTCCTTTAGCAAGTCTATGTTATTTGAGTTTTCATGAAGTCAAACCTAATCCTAAATGAATACAGGGTTTATTTCACAGGGAGGTCAGGGGAAGTGAGTGAGGCAAGGGGAACGCATAGAGGAGTGTCTTGGGAGAGAAATAATAGTTGATGATGAGTATTTACTTTGCTGTGTGTTGGTATTTAACTCGTGCTTTGGCTTTGATTTTTAGTAATGTGAGAACCATACATTTCTGGAGCAGAGATCTCATGAGTGATAAATAAGCAATTTTCTGTCCGTGCCCCACACTGCCCTCACCCTGCAGCCTTAGACCACTAGAATCCACAAGTCATTAAAGAAGTTGAGTATGAGAGAGAATTCATGCCAGGGGGAAGTCAGGGATGTCTCAGGAAGAGGCATTGAAAAAGACTCAGAGACCTAGGCTTGTAGCTACTTTTAAAGTTAGTTTCAGAAAGTGTTTTTCTCTATAGGTGCTATTGGGAGGCGGAAATCATAAGTTGAATACCAATAGTTTTCTGGAGGAGGCAGATAACATGGCGGAAGGAAGGAAGGAAGGAAGGAAGGAAGGAAGGAAGGAAGGAAGGAAGGAAGGAAAGAAGGAAGGAGCAGTCACTCTGCAAGAACACCTTAAGGCACGGCAACTTCCAGTTCAGCCTGCTGCTGTAGAAACGCAGACAGATGCCGAAAAGATAGCACAGTGGGTAGGGCTCTTGCTTTGCACTTGGTGACCTGGTTTGATCCCCAGCATTCCATATGCTCCCCTGAGCCCCACCAGGAGTGATCTCTGAGCCACAGAGCCAGGATTAGCCCTGAGCACCGCCAAGTATGCCCCCCAGTTCACCAAATCAAATCAATCAAATCAAGCCAAAACTAAAAATGCAAACAGCGCAGTAGAGAACTTAGATCAAGAGTTTTGTTTTCCGAAGCCTAAAAGAATTGTGCTGCCACAGAGGCAGGGTGAGGTGGAGGGGATGAGGTAGGGATGGTGGGAGGGATGTTGGGAGCATTGGTGGTGGAAAATGGGCACTGGTGGAGGGATGGGCACTTGATCATTGTATGACTGAAACACAAACATGAAAGTTTGTAAGTCTGTAACTGTACCTCACGGTGATTCACTAATAACAAATTTTAAAAAATTATTCAGACACAATGCTCTCACTAAGTGCTCAGTAGCGTTGTCTACTGAAATGCTCATGTCTGAATGAAAAAAAAATCTTGTTGCTAAAAAAAAAAATCCTCTGAGCACTTTAAGAACTGGCACTGATAGACTTGCTCCATGGAGGCTTGCCACCTCTTGCAGTTGGCAGAAAGCGTAACATCTGCAAAGGGTCACAGAACCAGGGAGGCCAAGGAAAGCTAGGGCGGGGGTGGGCCGGGTGGCATCCGGGGCCGGGCGGCGTGGCATTGGTGTCGGGACATGAGCACAGAGTGGCTTGGCTTCAGTCTTGGCTCTTCAGTCCCAGGAAGGCCCGCAGGACATGGCCGTCCAGGGCAGTTATGTGTATTTGGCCGGATATCAGCTGTTAGCTGGGAATGTTGGGCCAGCACATAGGGTGGAAAGAACGGTTCCAGAAGGAAGTCATTTTCTTTGTGTTCTCACATGTGGGCAGCCTCAGGAAAGAGAAACTGGAGCCCTGAGGGAGAGGAGGAAAGGCACTAGGAGCTTTGTTCCTTCTGGTAGTGCTGGGGCGGCTGCAGCCACTGAAAGGAGGTGTGAGAATGCTCTGATCTGTTTAGATTGGCCTTCTCAGAGACCACAGCAGCCAGAACGGTAATTACAAACAAAGCGACTTTCATTAAAACGTCCTTTGGAAAGCATCCTAACAGAGTTAGCACCAGGCAGATTCGGAGCCCCTTTGCCGGGTTCCTGTGACTCCCCCCACATTACCTGGGACTTAAGGGCAATTGGTTAAGATTTTTCAGTCTCAGACAGCAGTGGCTGGGCTAGAGCGACGGCGCCTGCCTTACATGTGACTGACCTGGGTTCAATCCCCAGCATCCCATACGGTCCCTTGAGCACTGCCAGGGAGTGGTTCTTGCTGAATGCAGAGCAGGGAGTAATCCCTGAGTATTGCCAGGTGTGACCACAAAACTAAAAACTAAAAAACAAATAGCAGTGGCTGACATAATTGGGTTCTCATATGTAAGTTGGTCCAGGCTTGACCTGGCAGTTCCATCATTAAAAGGAAGATCCTTCCATTGTCCTGCCCCATCAGTTCAGTTTGTGGCTTCAATCCTTAAGCCTACCTCATGGTCCAGGCTGCTGGTGCACCAACCATCACACCTATATCTAAGGTAAAGTGAGAGGAGGAGGGCAAAGGGGCTTCTGATTGGGGCTAGCATTCTCATCTTCCTGACATCATTGCTCAGAACCTGGTTCTGTGCCATATTCTAATATGAGAGGAGTCTGGGAAATATGATCTTTATTTGGGCACATCTACCCTGAGGGGTATGTGTATAGGTTGTTTTTAAAAGGCTGGCAGGGCCAGAGAAATAGTATTGTGGAGGGGCTGGAGTGATAGCACAGCGGGTGGGGCGTTTGCCTTGCACACAGTTGATCTAGGTTTAATTCCCAGCATCCCATATGGTCCCCCAAGCACTGCCAGGAGTAATTCCTGAGTGCAGAGCCAGGAGTAACCCCTGTGCATCGCCAGGTGGGTAAGGTGCTAGCCTTGTATGCAACCAACCTTGGTTTGATCTCTGGCACTTGGTTTGATCTCTACCACCCCAAGCACTGCTAGGAATGATGTCTGATAACAGAGTCAGAAGTAAGCCCTGAGAAATGCCAGAGGAGGCCCCCAAGCCCCAAAATAAAAATAAATAAATTTTTGAAGTAATGTGAATAGCATTCTTTTATTCTTTAACATTCCTCCTATCAAGAGGAGGGGATACTATAACCCCCGGCTCCCACAAGTCCACACACATTCCCTAGCTCTGTGCTGGGGTCTCACTGCCTTGAACAGAATAGGTCATGATGTTTTTGTTTCTTTATTCTGGCTTTGGGGCCACACCCCACGGTGCTCAGGGCTTACTCCTGTTTTTGTATGCAGGAATCTCTCCTGACAGTGCTTGGGGGAATCATAGAAGATTCCAGGGATTGAACCTGGGTAGCCTGTGTGCAAGGCAAATGCCCTACCCACTGTACTATCTCTCCAGTCCCGGGTTGTGATGCTTTTATAGTGGAATGTATCATATGCGGCCATGCAGCCCCTCCCAGCACCCATCAGTTAGACTTGAGCCAGGACCCGAGTCGTGGGCACATGGCCTACTGGTGGCACGTACTCACAGGAGTTCTTCCTGGCTTTAATATTTTGCCGTTACCATCTTGCCATTCTCTCATAACTGTCATCTTCAAGTTCTGAATTTTCTCCTTGAATGTGTGTAAAGTAAGTAAAGGCCCTCGATTTACTCGAGCTGGCCCAGTAACGTCTCCATTGGAGACTTTGTTGTTACTGTGTCTGGCATATCGAATACGTCACGGGGAGCTTGCCAGGCTCTGCCGTGCGGGCGAGATACTCTCGGTAGCTTGCCGGGCTCTCCGAGAGGGGCGGAGGAATCGAACTCGGGTCGGCCATGTTGGCTGCGTGCAAGGCAAACGCTCTACCGCTGTGCTATCGCTCCAGATGGGATAGCATCTGGGGCTTCTGGTGGAAAGGCCAGTGGAACCCATGGACCGTGCATGCAAGCAGAAAGCAGAGAGTCAAGATGTGAATCCTGGGCTGTGATTCAGCCAATCACTTATGCTTAAACTGACCTCACAGGAGAGGGAAGAAGGGAAAGATGGGGTCAGAGAGACGGTTCATAAGGTGCTTGGCTCGCACATAGCTCGCCTGAGCCCTGATGGGTATAACACCCAAAGCAAACCACAACAGCCACAGCAAAAAGCTATGGAGCCCTGGGGCCTGTCCCCAAGGACAAGAAAAGAACTGATGTATGGCCTGGCTTCTCTCCGCTTTAAATTTTCCCTGAAACCTTCAGGCACATGTTCTGCCACCAACTCCCAGCAATGACAAGTTCCAAAACACAGGAAATAATGGGAACCCTGGACACGCCACGCTGGGAGGCCTGCTGTCCTGTGCAAGAGGCCTTCCACTGTCCATGGACAGATCTTCTCTGAAGTCTTGGTGACACAGGTGTCAGGGTCCCCACCTCTGACTTGGAAGATGCCAGTGAACTCCAGCTGCCCCCAGCACTCGCTTCTGCTTAGAGCTCATCTTCATTTTAATATGATTCCCCAGGCCTGTCCTAATTCTCTGAAGCTGCCCCTTGTGCCAGCCCCTGGGCCTTTGCACATGCTGGTCTCTCCCCACAGACACTTTTCTCCCACTTCAACAAACTTCTTGTCTTTCTAAGATGCCTTCCTTGGCCACGCTGGTGTCTTTGCTTCGGTTGTACTAGAGAGTTGCCCCATCGCATTCATGCACTGTTTGTCGTCTGGCTAATTGCTATTGAATTTCTGTCTCCTCCCGCCCACTGCAGTCCATGCTTCCTTCAGAGCAGGCATCGGTCTGTTTTGTTCCTGGCCCTCCCAGGGGTCAGAATGCCACAAGTACCTACTCCATGTAGGTTTGCTGAGGAACCAGACTGTCTTGTTTTGTCTCATCACCACCCCATGAAGCAAGCAAGG